ACCCATATTGGCATTAGCTTGTACGAAAGTAGCTACCATGGCAGTCATGACATTCATGAATGCCTCTTGATCATAGACAGGTGGTGGCGGTGGTTGGTTTTTCCGACCACACCTGGACTAGGTCGATGTTCCCGTCCTCTAGTTGTCATCTAAAATAATACAAGATAGTAATAGATTTAACTTAGTGTCATGGACCATTAACACTGTCAAAGCATCATAGAATATGTTAAGACAATGCCATGATANCTGGACTAGGTCGATGTTCCCGTCCTCTAGTTGTCATCTAAAATAATACAAGATAGTAATAGATTTAACTTAGTGTCATGGGCCATTAACAATGTCAAAGCATCATAGAATATGTCAAGACAATGCCATGATGCTGTAAAAAGAACATGCGAGTTGGTTTTAGGTTAATGTCCTGGCTCACTCTTACTCTTGTTGTCATAATTTTTAAGATAATAATAATTTTGGGGCTGAAATCTAATCCATTTGAAGTAGACCTTGTAAGCTTTCCAACAATAGCTTATTCATGTAATTTTGACTTCGGTAGCAAAAGTTATGTCTGCTCAAAGTTAGGGAAAAATATAATGTTCCTGACCTACCGACGTGCTTTCGTTAGGTTCAAAACAGAGTGTTGTTCTATCAGTAAGTCGATGTCTACCTGTTGACTGTTCTACCGGTAGGCCGATTCCCAACCCACCGGTTGGTTCCAAAATAGAGAGTCGAACTACTTGTAGGTTTATGTTCAATTTAATGGTAAGTTCAAAATAGAAGCCTTCCTCTCGATTTGTTCTTGCCAATCTATCAGTAGGTCAAGTCCAAAAGCTAATCTACCTGTAGGTCATGTATTGATTCCTACAGATCCATCTATATTTTCTTTCCTTGTTCTTTTCCAACCTCAAGGCTATATTTCTACCTGGGTTTTCTACATTTCTTATGTTCAAGCATACATATATTCATACACGTAGCACATAACAAAGACGATAATATTCATGTGAATGCAATGTCCAAACCCAAATCTTCCGGTAACGAAAAATGATGAACTCACTTCCAACGTGACCCATGTAGGATCTAAAGCCTAGGATCTGATACCAAGCTCTAACACCCTAAATTCCCAGGCGGCACTTAATCACTAATTAAACTACAGATTACCCTTTATATCATTGTTATGCTCTGGTACCCTGTGCGACACCCCATTTACTAGGTGCCCTTTCTCTACAAAATTTGGACGCAGTCTTCTTTGTATGGGATCTCCACCCAACACACAACCTATGCATATAATATTACCATGACCTTACCAAGGCCCAACATCAATATCCAAGTATTGTATACCTTGAATATCAACTCATTACCATCATCATACAATATACATGCATTCCCAAAAGAATATATGTCCATTAAGTCCAAATTACATGCCTTTAAAATGAAATAATATACAAGACCAAAGTAGATGAAACAGGACTAACCAACTCAAAATGAAAGTCATATTTCGGCTTTGTCCTTAAAGTGAGCTCAAGTGAGGGCCGTCAATAGAAACACATCATGTACCTGAAAATATATCCCTATAAAGGGTGAGTCAACGCTCAACAAGGTATCTTCTATGGAGATCACCTCCCAACCCATACACATATAAAATGTCATGCAATCATAAACCTTCCAAACATTCAATTCACATATATAAACATGAACAATGCTACTAATCCATGTCATGCCAATAAATGTAAACTCATGCATGCATTGCTAACACTGAATTCCATCTTGGACTCCCACAACACATGCAATACCATGCGTATGAATCTAAGCATTCCAAATACCCACTATTGATGTTAAACATCCAATGACCATTTAATTCATTCGTGTCTTTTTGGGGCGGTGATTTATGGTATTTCACCAACGGGACGCCACACCGTTAACGGATCTTCAAAGCATCTCACCCGTGGCTCCATTTTCGCAGTCACGCTTTTATGAGCTCATTACACCAACAACAAGTGCATAACTGATATTTTCAGGTCTTGAACCTGAGGGAGAATTTAACCCTTCTTGTTACACCTCAACATGTTTATTATGCAATTTCGATGCAACTCATTCAGACCTAAGTCCAACCTTCCCGAGCTCACCCGTTAACTCACCTGGGTGGCGATTGACCCAAACCTATATGCACACACTCACACTCATGTCAATGATCATAGATGTAGTGAAACCCATGCATATGCAAATGTAATGTATAATTATAATTTCACTTCATCATAATGTTAATTATATCATGAAAGCATATAATAACATTTCATATACATCACCAAACATACTATATGTGATTGTTATCCAAATAATATACTTGCATTTACCTAAAAATTTATCAAAACACTTACTGGGTATAAAATGTAAACACATAACATACCCAAATAAAACATTTCATCAATCCAAACATCTTCCTAGCGGTAGGTTGTGCTTCTCCCATTTGTAGGTTCACACTTCAACACTCAAATCCAAATCAAGCTAGAAATGGGTTTTGACATACACATATACTCATTATCCACACCTTAAATACACTAAATGTGAGCTAATATGTGAGATTACATCTCTATAGTTTTATCCAATTCATATAGCCACTCCACGTTGAAAGTAAACCTAGATAAGAGGAAATCTTACCCCTCGTAGCGTGAGCAATGTAAGAAATCTCCTTAGAATGCCTAAATGAAGCTTTTCCAAGCCTAGATCAAAACCCCTCTTGTCCAAAAATTCGGGAAAATGGGTCGTAGTTAGTATTAACACATAGCCCTCGTCGAGTGAAACCTTTTTTACTCTTACTCTATCTCGATCCAACAAACAGATCTTCATAGATCAAAGGAAAAGGAAGAAGAAGGTGAAAAGGAGTGAGCTCTTCTCTCTCTCTCTCTCTGTGCCAAAATTTTGAAGGAAGAAATGAGTGGAAGCCAAAGTCTTCCACTTTATTTTCCCTTTATATACTTGGCTCTTAAGGCACCACATGTCACTTTTTCATTGGTCTAATTTTGTCCCAACCAATCGCATCTTGCTACATGTCATGTTTGATATACTTTTATGACATTCACTTTAAATTATATTATGGGTTCTCCAATTAAAATCTGATCACATAATTTTAATAGTGTGATACTTGATCGCATCACAACACTTGGAAATTTTGACTATTTTGAAATTCAATGAAAATTGATTTACTAACTCGATTTAATGAGAGGAGTCTAATGGTGAGCTCGTTTTGTCATTCAAGTTATATACAAATTTGAGTTTTTATCCCGTGCTTAATAGTCTAATTACTATTTTACCCTTTTAATTAAGATTTTTAATTTTTTCGGGCTTTACAAGTGTTCATATGCTACGAGGACTATTGGGGATTAACTCAAACTCTCATTAATTAGTTATTAATTAATCTTAGTCTAAATAGGATATTATGTTATTAGAGTTAGTTTATTATTTAAATTAGTTGTTTTGTTGGAGAAGGCATCGTAGTCTTCTCGAGGTATGTCGATAGAGCCTTCTTTTGACAAATAGATTTATTGAAAAAAAAATTAGATCTTTGAAAAAATAGGAGTAGACGAAGTAGATGAGAGGGGGAAAAAAAGAGAACAAAGCAATTCAGTCATTTGCGTTAGTTATCCTGTCTGACAAAAAAAATTCCAGCCCCCTTTGACTTTCATTTAATTCATGTAGATGAGTTTAAGTTGACTTTTCAAATTGGATTGGGATAAAATTCGAGTAAGATTTTTGATTCATTTTTTACTTAGCAAACGTAAGATATATGTGCCCCACGTACTTTTTTTATCCTATCCTTACCAAAGTGATCTCCCTTTAACCCGAGATATAAACATATACCATGATTCAAGCAAGGAGGAAGCCAACAAAACAAGCCAAGCTATTGATTCAAGCCACCAACCAAAGTCAAGATGATATCATAAACAATTCAGATCCTTTAAAAGGATCGATCCCTATTGTGTTGATTCCGGAGCATAAATTTAATGCGGATCGATCCATACTCTTTGTGGATCGATCCAAGTAAAGAATTTCTATTGGTCTAAGACTTGTACTTCGTCTTTATTTGTACCAATACTATTTTACTATAAATACACCCTTATACTTTTGAGAGGATATATTCTTTTCCCAAAATAGCAGCCTTTTGACCTATTTTTCTTATTTTCTTCTTATCACAATTCTTGGGGATCTAGACATGAATAGTGAGTAGTCTTTTTATACTTTCTTGCTCGGGTTAATGGATCTATAATCATTTATTTGGATTGTTATATTTATGCCTTTTTTATTTTGATCTCAATGTTAAATCTTTTATTTATTTAATTGATTGAATGTTCTTAGCAAAATTTAATATTTTGTATAAATGTTTAATTTTTTATCTACAAGATTGATATTCTTGGTATGAATAATGTTTATAATTCCTTGCAAGTATTTTAATTAATTCTTCAAAGTTTATTTTCAAGTCAATCAAATTAATGTTCGTTCATTGAAATATTTTTCAATTGACTACATTGATGTTGAAATCAACTAAGATAATTAATATTGCATAAATGTAATTTTTCGATAAATATGAGCAGATCCGAATTTCGAAACTAGGAAGTTTTTTTTCAAATTATTATTAATTTTAAATTTACTTTTGCAAATTACTTTCCAATTAATCATACTTTTTAAAAATCTTGTTATTTCTTGAACTTTGTTCAATTTATCTATTTTCTGAGAATCGACCTTGGACTACACCAAGTTATCATTACAATTTAACTAGCTACACTTGGATATACCACATTTGAATTCAAGCAACAATTATTTGATTTTGTTTGCTTATTTTAGAATATACCAATTTTGTCCAAATCTTTCAATCTTGAACAAACAAACTTATAAAGAATATCAAGTAAAATTAAAATTCAACACGATTTACCTTCAACCCACGTGTGCAGCCACTTACTAGTAGACAGAGAAAGAAGAGTTTGAGAACGTGTTCTCACATGTAACATACCATTTGTCCTTACCCCTGAAAACGCTCCCAACAGCGCGGTCTGTCCGTCTCTCTCTCTCTCTCTCCGGTTTCATCTTCTTACCCTGTCTTCATTTGCCTACTCTAACCGACCCACCCGAGGCCGGCCTTATATTCTGCGTACGATAACTATAATTCCATCACATTCCGTCTCAATCCCAGAAAAATAAAATAACAAATTAAAAAACCACTTTTTGGATAAAAACTACAGGCTCATTCTTTTCTTTTCAACTGTATGTTTCAACGTATACAGACATATTTAGGCGATGGATCTGAGAAGAGGAAGATTGGTGGTGTTTGGTTTTACGTTTCTTGTGCTCGAATGGTCATGTTTTGCTTCGGCCAACGTGGTGTTCAGAGTCCAGCACAAATTTGGTGGGCGTGAAAGATACAGCAGGTTGGGTGCACTCAAGAGCCATGATGCCTACCGTCACGGTAGAATGCTCGCCACCGTCGATTTGCCTTTGGGTGGCAATGGGCAGCCCACCGACGCCGCGTAAGTTCTTAATCCCTCCTCCTCCCCCACCCCCAAATCTCTATCTTCTTCTCTCTTGTATATATTGTATAAAATATTTCTGCTTCTCTATAATGTGATTTTGGGGTTCAGGATTATTACGATGGATAAGAGCTAACTATGCGATGTCTTTTGTAGATGAAAATGTATTTATTCAACCTGGGCGTGCTTGTGTAGATCCAATCTAGCCTGCATTTTTGGTTCGTTAATTAATAAATAAATTCATTTTTCATAATCAACCAAAACATGTAATTGTGTATGCCTTTGGACTTCTACTTTTACCTTCGGTTGAGTTGTGATGGATATGGTGGCAAAAAGAAAAAAGTAAATGCTGAATTATGATTATTATTGCTCCCGATAAAGAGATAAGCAACAAGTTTCAATTCTGTTAATCTAAACTATCAGGTTAAGCCCAGATGAAATCTTTTGCTGTTTCTAAGTTTTTATTCGAATTCAATGAATTTACATGGTTGAATTGAATTATTCCAAAAATAATTTCAATAAATCTAGTTTTGCATTAAATTATTAGTTTAAAGTAATAGATAGTTTCCAACTCCTTCTTTATTTGATTTTTATTGTCAATTTTCAAGGAATCTATACTTTCTGGAATTCAATAAAACTAAATTGTCATATTCAATAGATCTAAGTGTAATGCCAACAACTGAATGTATATATGAATGCTAAGGTTTTTTGTTTGGTAATGTTTATATGGTTAATTGATATAGGCTCTATTTCACCAAAATTGGGATTGGGAGTCCCCCGAAGGACTATCATGTGCAAGTTGATACAGGAAGTGACATATTATGGGTGAATTGTGCTGGCTGCGACAAGTGTCCAAAGAAAAGCAATCTTGGCGTATGCTCCTTCTTTTAATTCACTTATAGATTTTATATTTATGTAACCTAGCATCAATGCTCTAGCAATTGGATGTAATATCTAATTGTGTTCAGTTACATTGCCACCTTTATTTTTCAAGATTTCGACATTCATGAAAAATAATGTATTGTTATTGTTATTATGCAACAGATTGAACTGCAGCTATATGACCCAAAAAGATCCACAAGTGGTAAACCGGTTACTTGTGATCAAGATTTTTGCACCAGAACATTCAATGCTCCATATGCTGATTGCCAGGTTGGAAGGCCCTGTGAATATTCTGTTACTTATGGAGATGGGAGCTCTACTGCAGGATATTTTGTCCAAGATTATGTAAATCTTGAGCGAGCGTCTGGAAACCTTCAAACCACATCCATGAATGGGAGCATAGCGTTTGGGTGAGTTTGTACATCTAAATTTAGACTGCACTGTAGTGTCCCAATGTCAATTGGCATACAGTCTTAGCATCAGTCCCTTGAAGCTGTTATATACATCATATATGTCTTTTTCATAACTATTCATCAATTGAAGTCTTACTTTCTCTTGAAGATAGTCTTTCATGCATTGCTAGGTTCATTTGTGTCTTGGACATCTCTAATCCCTTTTTCCATGACTTTAAATGTATCTACAAGTCTAAAGCAGAATTAGAACTATTCTTAACCATCATCCTGTGTATTGATATGACACTAATTGGACATGAAACAAGGATTACCCCTTTGGGGTGTAGGAACTATTGGTGCACGACAGATACATGCACCTTCAACGGAGGTAAAATGATTTCACAACTTGGTGGTTTACTTTCTCATGCTTCTTGGGTTCATTATACTTGGCTGATGAACTGGAGAATAGTTATAGTAGAATTAATATAGATTGCACGATCAAATTTCACTTTGAAGGTGGTGATTTCTTTTATGAACGAATTTATTGTCTTTTGTCCAAGGCTCATCAAAATTTTGTTTTGGAATGATCATGATCACTTACCCTCCAGTAAAATTCCACCAGTTATGACCACACTTTGTTGCAAGTTCACCAGCAGCAACTTCTATATTCTGAGTAGGAAGGTAACCTTTCTTCTTCTAGAATTTGGATAGATGTATTGGTGGTTGAACTAGATATCTATGGTATGCACGAATTGTCACAACATAAAACCCTAATTATTTCCATACTTATTTTCCAGAAAGAAAAGCAACTTACATGGTCACTTGTCCTATAATGCCATGTGTCTTCGTTTTTAGATTCCTTGAGGTTTTCCTTGCTTGACATAGCAAAGGGAAAAAATAAAATAGAATGGTTTGTTCCTGTAGCATCTTCTGCTGTACTGTAGGCCACACTAAAAGATTGGGTCTAGTGGATGACATCTATATTATCTGGTTTTGCATTTCTGTTCTTTGCCATTCGTTGGTATGGAGGTGTTATGCATTTGAGTGTAATTTCTCAATCTTGACCATTGCTTAGCCTACCAGTGTTTTAGATATTTTTCAGTAGTTAGCACAATGTATTTTCCTGTGCTGCATCTATAGTCTCTACTTTCCAGTGGCTCGATAGTCACTTTTATTGTGTTTCATGGAAGGTGTGGAGCTAAACAATCTGGGGAGCTTGGTTCATCTTCTGAAGCACTTGATGGGATACTTGGTTTTGGACAGGCAAATTCGTCCATGGTTTCACAACTTGCTTTGTCTGGAAAGGTGAAGAAAATATTTGCACATTGCTTGGATGGCATTAATGGAGGTGGAATCTTTGCTATTGGTCAAGTTGTGCAACCTAAAGTAAATTCAACTCCGTTGGTTCCGAATGAGTATGTAATTTATACTTTTTGGTGAAAATTTGAGCTATTTTGGCTTATGTGCATTTGTTTGTTTTTATTGCAATAACAATCTCCATAGCGAATAGTATATATTTTTTGATAGAATTAACCATCCAATTTAAAATATCTACTTGGAGCCAAAGTTCTATATTCTCTTTTTAAATATAAAGAGAAATCGTTGAAGATGAATTGGGAGAGGGAAGAATATTGGTCAAGAAGTCTGAAGGCTTATTCTTCTTGTAGTGGCATTTAGATGTGAGATTAGTGTACAACATAGGTGAACTCAATGTTACCTGGATCATTGACCGATTTGGTACGTGGTACGGGTGTGGGCAATGTGGATCATGAATCGATTTGGTATGTGGTATGGATATGTGGTATGGCCGTATGGTACTTCTTCCAATATGGGGTAGGGTGGGGGTAAGCTTAGTTGATACATTGTTTTGGGTCGTGGTTCGTTTTGTAATTTTTGTATAGAATAATATATATGCCTATACATGTAGTTAATAAATATTTATTTTATATTTCTAATAAATCTTATCAAAATATGAGTGAAAAGAACACCAAAATAAAGAAATAACAAGTTAAGAGTTATGATTTAGCATTGAGGCTTTGATGGGAGATTATTTGGGTCACGAATCAATTTGCGGTTTGAGTTATAATTTGAGGTCGAGACTTTGCGTTTTGGATCGCGAACCCATCCCATTTTGGGTCGTGCCATCTCGGTTCATGGGATGCTAGGGGTATCTACAATCTCGGTATCTATGGATGAACCATGTCTATGGTTAAGAATTTCCCATTGAGACCAAATTGTGCTAACTACATCCTGTAATTTTCCTTTGGCTCAAGGAATGTGATTAGTGGCAAGTCTCAACTTTCTCAAGTCCATTGGGGGAGCTAGAAGACATTGTATCATATTGTTTTTAACCTAGGTGCATATTTCTCTATTACTAATGCTGCGACAATATCTGTGGTATGTTTGGTCGTGTGCAAGGAAGTTTATCTAATAAATTAAGCTTCTTTAGGTAATTTGGGACCCAGTTATGCTTTACGAATAAATAGCCTTGGAGGATGGTGTTGGAGGTGAAATTCAAGTGATGGACTTCAAGAGGCTATAAACTAATGTAGGGAGGATCTTTTGATGGGCATTAGTCTCTAAATACATTGGCTTTGTAGTTGGAAAACTTGGAATTGTCATGGGTATGTTTTTGGCATAAGCCTTGGTCAGAAGATGCATCCCTGAGACTCTGCGGCCGATGTGTATCAATGCTCTCTGAGTTGACACCCGATACCGCGACCTTAAACCATGGTTGTAATTTTCCCTTTGATTAACTTTTATGGTTCGTATTTTGTAATTTCATAGGGTTCCTTTCCTCTTTTGTACCTTTTTCCTTGATTAGTCCTCATTTGCACTTCCCCCTTCTTAATTACAATATCTTTTGGCTGTCTATCAACTAATAAAAAAAGAAAAGAAAAGAAACGAAAAGAAAAGAATAGAAGATTAATTCATATCTTGTGGACCTTCAAAATAAGGGTGAAATAAGGGTGCTTGACTGCTTGTGTGCCTCTCAAAATGGACATGCGAATGGGATGTGACCCGACTAGCCAGTTGTCCAACATTTTCTCAACTAGCTGGTCAAATAATGGGGGTAGAATTATTTCAAGTCTAATTGTGGATTTTTATAATGCTTATCGGAATGTTCTGTTGTTATTGTTAATTTGAAGATGGATCAAGCACCTATATTGAACCCCATTGTTTGAAAAAACATATTGCAGAAGACAAACTACAAAAAATTGGGAATACAAAAAGTAGTAAAGAGTCATGTCCACATGTCATATCAAGGATTGAAGCTAATCTTTGTGTTTATGTAACATACACATCACATACACATGAACAACTTGTACTAGATTGAAGAACATCTTGTAATAGCCACATGACCTGCTGCATTCATAGATGGGTTCTTTAGAGATAAAAATAGGATCTATTATATGATAGTTGATTCCTTGTCAGGAGCCCTCATGCCTAGTTATTGTTTGAGAGGAAGTGTATTAGGATCTTCCCGTCACGATTATACATGTAGAACTACACACGCATGACCTAAAGGGGGGTTGAATAGGTTTTTGACACTTCCCGACTGAAAAAACAACAATTTTAAAACCTATTAACCAAAATTATCAAATTAATCAATTATTTGCCAAATAAGCTTATTGAATCCCTTTTCCCATTGGAACAAACCCAACTTGGATGAATGGATGCAAGATGTCTCAATTAACAACCCAAACAACAATCCAATCCTCTAACCTTATCCCTCCAAAGTCTAAACAAACCAACCACCTTAGCAACCAAATTGATGAAGATATTGAATATGACTTCCATGAATCAATTCATCAAACAAATTGTGACTGTGTGATGTGTGTGTGCACGCTAACATAAAACAATACTTCAACAATCCACAACACAAGCAATTTAATGTGGAAACCCTCTGGGGACCACGGAATTGATCCCAAATTACCTAACCTAATTCACTATTCTCAAAATCGATTTCAAGGACACAAGTCTTATACCTCAATCAATACACCTGTGACTAGATGCTTTCTTCCTTGAATCTATTCCTCTTGATTTGCCCACTGCGAGGTTTTGAGAACTAGCTTCACTTGGATGCAATTATCGCAACGATCTATCTAGGTCTTGAGCAATCTTCAAGAACTCCTTCCTAAGNGATGCTTTCTTCCTTGAATCTATTCCTCTTGATTTGCCCACTGCGAGGTTTTGAGAACTAGCTTCACTTGGATGCAATTATCGCAACGATCTATCTAGGTCTTGAGCAATCTTCAAGAACTCCTTCCTAAGATTCTTGGTTTGCACACAACAAATGTGGGTTTGGTTCCTTCTTTTTTTTTTTTTTTTTTCAATTTGTGAAGTTGAATTGAAAGATCAANCTTTTTTTTTTTTTTTCCAATTTGTGAAGTTGAATTGAAAGATCAAGTAGGACTGGCCATTTGGATTTGGGAGATCTAAGGTTTGTTCTTGGAGATCTATATGTGTGAAAAATAGATTTTAGCTCAAGAGAGTTTTCCCTTAGGTTAGAGAGGCTTGCTTTATTTATAGATTTGGAATTAGAATAGTCTTGGAGCCCAAGAAAAGTAAAATTCACAAGGGACTACCTGAGCCGTGAGAAAGCGGCCAGAGGGTAGACTTGACTAGGATGAACAAATGTATCGAACCAGTCTGAGTATAATAGGGACTGCTCGAGCGGTCTACAGGCCGTCGATTGGCCAAGCGAGCCGTTTCCACTGCCAACTTCTTTAGCCACCTCCTAATTGTTCATGGACTACTCTAGCCGAAGGCTAGCGAGCAGATGATTGTTACCACAGGTTTTTAAGCTAAAAATCAAACAAAAATTTGTAGTATTGAGCAGTAAGGAGTGTTGCTTAATAATGATTCGATACATGACTCGATCTATGTTTTCAAAATAAAGTTTGGTGTCTCAAAATTATTTTCATGAAAAAGCATACGAGTCATTCATAGAATACTAACTCCATTTCAATTAAACCCTAATGTGCCAAAGTAAAAATACGAAGGTTCTAAGGTCATTATCTTTCCTAAGTTTTGAAGAATTAAGGGAGGTCTTCATGATAGCTTGAAGCTTAAACTCCTTTCTTCATGTAGCTTTCAGATGTTGAACTTGAAATATCATGACCATGAACTTAGGTTGAGATTTATGAGGTGAATTTACAGAATTAGCCAATTACAAATGAGTAATTTCCTAAAATTGTTGTTAGAGCTCTTGTTTTCTATTAGTTGCAATATTTTGGTACATGTTGTGTAGATAATAAAAAATCGCATGTGAATCAGTAAAGCAAACATACAAGGAAAGATGATTTTTATGTAATAAAGTTAAACGACCAAAAACCACAAAGCCTGGTATAACAAAATTGTCCACTAGGTTGATGTGACTTGCTATAAGACATAAAAGACATACCATAGCACTTGCTACCTTTTGGCTGATGCTTTCCTCTTATTTTGAATGTATCAAGCTTCAAATCCTCTAGGGAACCATCATACATTGAATTCTCCATGTGCTCGATCAATCAAGTCCTTCTGGGCGTTTCTCCACCATTTAAGGTTCACCCACCTCTTAGGAGAGCTCCATCCTCAAACCCGGTTTCTAGAATCCTTCATAGCTTAGAAAGTATCTTTGAAGGTTTGTATAGGTTTACAAGAGTTGGTTCACATGAAAAGAATATTTTTAGACATTGAATCTCTTAACTAATCACCTTAAAATTCCTCATAGGTAGGGTTTGCCGGTCTTAATTATTTAGAATTTTTTTTTTTNAGAACTACACACGCATGACCTAAAGGGGGGTTGAATAGGTTTTTGACACTTCCCGACTGAAAAAACAACAATTTTAAAACCTATTAACCAAAATTATCAAATTAATCAATTAANGACATAAAAGACATACCATAGCACTTGCTACCTTTTGGCTGATGCTTTCCTCTTATTTTGAATGTATCAAGCTTCAAATCCTCTAGGGAACCATCATACATTGAATTCTCCATGTGCTCGATCAATCAAGTCCTTTTGGGCGTTTCTCCACCATTTAAGGTTCACCCACCTCTTAGGAGAGCTCCATCCTCAAACCCGGTTTCTAGAATCCTTCATAGCTTAGAAAGTATCTTTGAAGGTTTGTATAGGTTTACAAGAGTTGGTTCACATGAAAAGAATATTTTTAGACATTGAATCTCTTAACTAATCACCTTAAAATTCCTCATAGGTAGGGTTTGCCGGTCTTAATTATTTAGAATTTTTTTTTTTTAACTAAAACTACCCTCAGTGTTGTAGCTCTTCCTATATAAAATGAAAAAGAAATTCAGCCCAAATAAAAAACTGAATGTTCAGAATTCAACTAACCTCTTAGTAAGGATAAAAATTTTGTTTTGGTGCATTATTTCAGTCACCTAAAAAATAAGAACATTTCAACGTGTTTCGAAAACGGTTCGATTCTTTTTGGAAACAAAATGAAAAAAATAAAAAATTCAAAGCATTGGTTGAAATATATCAAAGTATCTTGAAATATTTTGAAACATGTCGAAACAGTTGTGCAAATGCATTGAAACATTACAAAATATATCGAAATATTATGAAACATCCGAAGTATTAGAATTTCAATTCCATCACTGATTCGTTTCAGTCTCTTTGGAAATTAAAATATTTCGGATGTTTTGAAATGAAATTTTG